GGTACCTGCTGAGCATCAGCTGCTTCAGGGCTTCTGTCGCTGTCCAGGCTTCAGAAGGCTGGAAACAGGAAGGGAATGAATTAATTTGAGCCCAGAAAGGTTCTGGTTGCACCGATTCAGGCCAACTGCAGCATACATTTCCCTGTATGTTTCCACAGCTCACTAGAAATCCTGCCACCTCCTCATCTTCTGCTTTTTTCTTTTTTTTTTAACCCCCACCAGCTGAACTAGGGTCTTTCTTATTTCAGGTTCTTCTGCGTGGCTGACCAAGTGAAGGTTTACACCAACCAGAACAAAACCAGGTGAGGGCACAGCGGGGCAGCCTGCCTGCCTTCCCCAGGAGGAGGCTGGGCAAGGTGCTGGGTGGATGGGAAGTGTCACCCTGCCAGTCCCACCAGGCTGAGCTGTGTGACAGTGCAGGGTGTGCTCACCTCATCTCCAGAGGTTTCACACCTTTCCCCAGCCACGCGCACAAATTTCTGGCTCTGGCGCTGACTCCCTGCAAGCTTCTGGTCTCATTAGCGGTGGGTGAGCCTCAAGCTGCAGGATTTCAGCCTTCTGAAGGGAGCAGTTGATCACACCATGACCTGAGGCAGCCCTTTCTGCTGTGGTTAGCCTCGTGCCATGGTTTCCCAGCAGCTGAGGGAGGCAGCTGCGTTCGCTGCCGTCTCCCAGCTGGTTTGTTCGGCAGCTTTGCAAGCCCTCGTGCCGGCGTGCGCAGCCTGGGGCGAGCGGGGCTGGGACCACCTCTTTTGGCAGCAGTGCCAGTCTTGAAATTGTAGTGCAGGTCTTGCAAGAGCTGGAGAGAAATAGCTGAGATGGTGCTAATTCTCCTGGGCGTCAGCTCAGAAGCCTGATTCCAATCGAATGCAATTAAGTAGTTTAAATGCCAAAGCAAAGGTGATTAAAATCGTGAAATGTTGCTGAATATAGTGGGAAATGCGGCCCAAGATAGTCGTGGGTGGGACAAAGTGGATATAGAACCTGAGTGAGACTTGAATTTTCCAATTCCCTCCTGGAGGGGAAGAAATGATGACTCTAGATGACTCTAGAAAGTGTCATCCCAACAGTCCTTGGGGAAGTGCTTCTTTGTCACATCTCTCCAGCTTGGTACTTCCCATTCCCTGGTTCCTCTTCCACTGTAAAACCTCTCCAGCAACTTCCACTTTTTGAATGCAGCTCCTGCATGGGCACGGCACTCTGCTGAAATTCCCATCCAGTGCATCCTCTGCCTGGAAAATGAGTGTTCTTGTCCCCAAAGGAGCTGAGTTAATCTCGTAAATCTACATGGTTTATCATCCAGTCCTGTTTTTCCTTGCTACCACAACTTTATTTCCATTTCTCTACAAAATACAGTCAGCATCCCTGGATGCTTAAGCCTGGCATTCCTCAAATTTTCTTCTAGGGAGTAGGGAATTTGCCTGGTAGGGATGCAGGGCGAAGCATGCTTATGGCTGTGCTTTCTGCAGTATGAAAGGGTGCTTGCTGTCTTTCCTTGTCTTTCTCTAGGACCTTTATTGGCTTGGAGGTCTCCGCTGGGCATTTCCAGCTGCTGGAGCTGGTCTCAGAGGTGGACAGAGTTTTAGAGGAATTTGACCTTCCCACATTCTACAAGGTAAGGCGTTTCCTTCTTACCTCCCTGCCAGTCTGGACATGCCAACTGGTTCCCTGCAAGATGTTCACTCAAATAAACAGGAGCCAGAGTGTAAGTCACAGTAGCTGCCCCGCTGTGCTTGGAAGCAGGGTTGTCCTAGGATAGAATGGGCACTGGGGGACTGAGGATGGTGTTTGTGCCTTTGCCTCGGGCAGCTTTCTTGGGTGTCAGTCCAGCCTTTTTGTTTGGTGCTGGCTTTGGGGACAGGTTTGGGATTTTGAAGGACCAAACCATGATTTGTCTGTCTTCAGAGCTGAGCAGAGAGCTCGTGTGGGTTGTGTAGAAGTGATCCATGTACCTGCCCTGGGACAAGCCTGAGAGGTTCTCTGTGCAGCTGGAAAAGCTGCTGCAAAGTTGAGCACAGGGAGGCCGAGAACCAGGCAGCCTTGCCCACTGCTGTCCAGAAAGGCTGGAGTGGGGAGCCCAGGACTCATCCCATCTCCAGCACTGTCCATATCAGCTCTGCAGCTGTTGAGTTGTCAGAGAGGACTCCCAGCTTTGGGATCCTCCAACCTCTGTGATCCCAGATTGGGTAGCACCACACCAGATCTCCCCCTGTGGCTCCATATGTCAAAGCCTCCTTTATCCCTCACATTCTGATCCTTGTTTTATCTTCAGGATCCGTCGTTCCACATCAGCTTGGCCTGGTGTGTCGGAGACCTGTCTGGCAAGCTGGAGGGGCAGTGTCTGCGGGAGCTCCAGGTGTGTCCCCACAGCCCAGGTGTGGAGAGCAGGGGAAGGGCAGAGCTGGAGTCCAACCACGTCTCCCTGCTGAGGGTGGAAGTGGGAAATTCTCTTCACCGGGCAAGACAAACTTCACTGGGTTGAAAGAAGAAAGGCTTTTGGGGGGAGCATGAGTTAAATCACTGTCCAGAGGGAAGTCAGAGGCTTCCAGCTGCAAATGGACTTGTCTCTGATTTGGTTCAGAGAGGGAGCTGCTATCTCCATCCTCTGACAAATCTGCCCTTCTGGTACTGACTCCTGCATCTGTTTTCCAGGACATTGTGGACGAGTTTGAGGACTCGGCGCTCCTGCTGCGTGTCCAATGGGAGCAAATCCGCTGCAAATCAGGGAACAAGTACTTCTCCTTCCCCTTGAGGTAGGGTCTGGTGGGGCTGTGCATTTCAGAGCCTCAAAGAGCCTGATGCTCAGCTAAGGACTGTTCTCCGACACAGCCCTGAGTAGCACGGGCTGTCACGCACCTCCCATGCTCTTCTTGCCTGCTCAGCGTCTCTGGGTTGTTTGTGGCCTCAAGTCAGGCCACTTCCAAGTTCTAGTTGCTGGCTGAAGAGATGTGTGTCTGTAGCAGATTTCATTCTCGCTGCTATATGTGCTGCAGTCAGCACTGGTGGTTCCAGACATCCCACGGTCGGTAATTTTGCTGATTTTTTTTTTTTTTTAAAAGAAAAAAAAATCTCTGTAACAGCCATAGATGCCTTATGGGAAAGAGGAAGAAGGTAGCGTGGGAAGCTGTTGCTAAAGGGAGAGTGTCTCACACGGTGGGAAGTAGCACTACCAGATTGTCAGGATGCTCTGAGCAAGCTTTTAGTAACAAGAGGCAAGGACACGGAGCTGGATTCTCTCACCAGAGCATCTCCCTGCTGAAAGCCAGCTTGGACAAGCTCCTGAGTCATGCTGTGTCCCTCTCGAACTGCTGCTGCCTCTGTAGAGGCATTTCATTGTCTGATCTTTTTGCCAAACAACAGGAGCTTGCAGCCAGGTGTGGGTGAGCCCTAGAGCGGGCAGTGTCAGGGTTTGCCTGAGCTGGGAGGGCAAATGCCCACAGGTGACTCAAGGGGGGGGTGGCTCCTGCTCAGGCTCCACATTTTTTCCCATGGGATCAGCACCCCGGGTGCCACGATGACCCAGGGAACTTGCAGGCTGGACATTGTTCCTTGGGAGAAGCTCCTTTTTAATGCTTTTTTTCCTGCAAGGAGGTTGGCTGCAGCCTCAGGTGTTCACAGCAGGATGTTGATGTGCTGCCCTGAATCTTTTATCCAGTGTCTGTCCAGAACTTCTGAGCAATAAAAATCTGTCTCCTTGTGTCATAAAATTGTGTCTGTGGTGTATTACAGCTGTTCCCTTTGAGAGATCCCCACCTCCTGCCCGTGAGACAATGCCTGCACTCCTGTGAGCTCAATGTAGCCCGTCCTGGCACTCAGAGTGGCTTTGTGTCTGTGGGAGCATCTCAGCACAGCCACAATTTGTGCCCCTGGGAGAGCTGCCTTTCAAAATCCTTAACAAAAACCTGTGAAGTCTGTAGCCAGTTAGTTTCCGGGATGGGGAATCTGCATGATAAGACGTGTGATTACACCCCAAGTTTTCTTTTGGGGAAGGAAAAACAAACAGAGATAAATTTAGCCCCCGGGGACTTCCAGTGAAAC